AGGGAGAGAGAGAGAGAAATAAAGAGTGGACCGAAAACACCAGAAGAGTACATTGGTTCTTCACTTCGTACAACCATGCCAAGTCATTGGAATAAAGCCCTTTCCTGAAAGGAATGAAAAAGGTGAGGGGATGGAGACCTAGAGTTAACCTACTACAAAGATCAGAGCAGCCTACACCGCCAGCACTCAGTCAGACAATGTCGACAGAAACTGATTACCTGAATTGCACTGACGTCTGTTACCCGACGTGCCGTTCAGTGTCTCAAGCCAAACAGAGGCGAACACAACTGAAGTCACCCAAACTGTTCGCAACATCCTTCACTCCCTTCCGTTGTTCAAGTTCTGTCCAACTCTAAGTCTTCGCTACTTCTGATTAAGCACGAAATTGACGCTGATCTCAATAGACAGTAACTCAGCATGCGCAACATATGGCCTAACCAACTTAGTTTGTGGTACTGGATGCATTCTTTGAGAGGAGTGTCCTCTGCTTCACCAAAAACCGATGCCCTGTTCATTTCATTGCGAACTCGCGAAATTCCAGTAGACTCGGCTTACAGTTATGAGTAACCCATGGTCAAAGACCGAAGTTGCGATATCTTGCAGCTGTACTGTAGTCTGACATACGTGTGCTTTGAGACATGGCGATATGCCTTTTTAATACCGCAAGTGAAGCTAATTGGTAAAAGCAATTCTGGCCTTTGATTTGCATACGTTGAATTCGTTTGTCATAGTCCCGTCAGAGCTACTGTGACTTCCCCGATGTGTATAGTTTCCGGAACTTTCACTCTCACTCCTCGAATCCTAGAGGCGTGCTCAAAGACTGTACGTTTCACAGCATGAAGTTGCACCTCGTGGGTGCGAAACACATGCTGAAAAGCTACATGACCTTGGCTGGCTTCTTCAGTTGTGATTGTGATTCCAGCTTTTATTCAAGAGTGAGAACACTGTCGTCCGCCCATTCCAGGTAGACAAGGTACTTGTTCAGAGTGACCATATCAAGTGAGCTTCGACGACCTTCCATAGTTCGCTTAATTACTTCACCAGTAACAAACGTAAACAAAAGTGGAGACTGAGAGAACCCTTGTCGGACACCAGTTCTTGTAGGAAGGCTTATAGTGAGCTCTTCATACACTTTCATACGCCCACAAGTATATGATGAATGTGATATTCACGGACATCTGGGGTATACCCTGTTGCCCAGGTGTCTTGAAAAGAACAAAGTGGTTAACAGGATCGAATGCACTCTTAAAGTCAAGGAACACCAAGATTGTAGGGCGCCCGTACGCATGCCGTTGCTCCAGCATTTGACGGAGTCTGAAAATGTGATCCGCACATCCCTTATCGACCGGAATGCTACTTGGTCCCTACAGCCGGAGTCCGGCTCATTACTCGGTGGTTGTCACACTCATTGTGACCAACTTTTATACAAGGGGCAATACCATCGACTTACCTCTGTTTTTGGGAGGGTTTCTTTTGCCCAGATATAGACAAGAAAATTAGACATATACTGACTTAGGATTTCATTTCCATCTTTGAGCACGACGAGTGGAAGTTCGCCGAGACAGACGCTTTGGCAGTGTTTGACAGAAAAACACCTTCACTCATTTCCAAAGCCGTCGGGGTCTCCAGGTTCACTCTCCAGAGTTGCTTTGCGGACAAGGAGTTTGCCTGTGTTATATCTGCTGATTCGCCAATCTGTTGTATCTGACTACTGACCCCGCTCCAGTACCTAGTGTCGTAGAAAAGACTCAGAAGGGATCACAATAGCTATATTCCGAACAAGCGAGTGCGAGAGCGTGAGTGCGTGCGAGTGCAAAAATACAACGGTCTCAGGCTATATATTAGAGGGACACTATCTGACCTTGATCAACGCTGACTCACGCTGTCTGGGTTTGATAAAGGGCTGTGAAGCGCTGCATATTGAGGGGGCGTTGTCTGTCTGGTCAGCATCTAGCGGAGCTGAGGGTCTCAGAAGATTTCGGGCATTCAATAGTTGCTTTCACGAATCTGACCACCCTGATGGTCTGAAAAATTGCAACCCAGTGGTGTGGTTGCCGAAATTGCTCAACTAAATGACTCATGTGTTCTTTTTTTTAGATATAAAGGAACTGTCCTCATCACCTAAAACCGCTTTTGGCCTTTCGCACACATCAGTTGGAAGTGTGTATGCATATTTCCAGTATTACTCATCTCCCAATCTTCTCAGCTTTCTGATCCTCACAGATCCTGCGTTTTTCCCCACATTTGACTGTTTAGTTATATTGTATTCGTGAGCAGGAGGAATACGTGTCCGAGCTCCGAGGAATCTTAAGATGTTGCTAAGGCTCCGGATCTTAGATCTGGTTGGTTGCCCCATTCCACAAGGGGAGCGTCTCATCACTTTTAAGGGTTACGGACAGTTCCTTCAAGTAACAGTCGATGTCAGAAGACGTGTCGTCCAAAGGGGGTCTCCAGCAGGCAGTTTTCGTAGATTTGTTTCGCTCCAGGGTCCAAAAGCCTTTTAATGGCCAGGAGATGTGTTCGCATCTCGCGTGACACTAAAAAAAGCTCAGCCAAAAACAGAAGCGAGCAAGCGCGTGGTCTGAATCCACAATCAGCAACTGAACCATTACGAACTTTAGCTAATGCTGACCTAGTCTATCCGCGTCGGAGATTAGATTGCATCCGTAACGCACCATGTGGCTGAGCACCTTTGGTTGTTGCGAAAGTTAATACTGAAGAGCAACCGTCTTTGGTCCGCACAGGCAGGCGCCATCGAGAATTTAGCTGTGATATCTTTGTAGACATTCGACTTTCCAGTTGCATGACATTATCAAATCAGTCAGACTAAAGTGCATTTCAGTAGTGGAAGTTCCAATACATGGCAGCTTGGTTTATGATACATTATTCTATGTTCAGACTTTGCCATTCTTTTTATCCTCGCACCGGGGTAGCCCTGTGAGTCTTCTCGTGCGAAAATAAACACAGGACCCCGTAACAGAACCATAGATTCCAGTTCATACCTCATACCAGAAGCAAGTTAGTCAGTCAAGATCATTTGAGTCGAGTTTCTTTAATCAAATGACCACACCATTCCATTTATTTTTTCACAAGATACTATTCATCCTCCAAAGAATTTGGATGTCTCCCACGGAAGATTTCACATCATCTACATTTCAAATTTGGTGCAATCTGTTGCAATCGCCATATGAGCCGGAAAACTTTAATTGGAATAGGCCTTATCCAAAGTCTTCCCCAATTCCACGACCCTTCTTTCTTGAAGGCGCTTGTTCTCCTATTTGTTTACGTTCGTATATTCACCATGCAGAAGCTTGGTCTTCCTGAATCCGTGTGTCATACCTGGTCAACAACTCTCCTGTAAACAGAGGACTGAGTGGGCATCGTCGATAAATCAGTTCCAAACTTCTTCATGATCTGTAAGGCATAAATTATCATCAACATGTGGCATGTATGTTCAAGGAATGCTCTCCAGTTATGAATAGTTACAACTAGTGTATTTGTTGACCTGAGGATTGTCTGCTCATGGACTTCAATCTCAGCAGAATACAGTTTTATTAACACTTCTCCCGTAGCACAATAATATTTCTGGCTAACTCAGATATGACCAGCACGTCTAGAGTAGAGTCACGCAAGAACTTTATGTGTGGTACTGGTCTGAGTCCGAAAGCCGAAGGATTATTGCACCAACGTGGCCAACTTCTTCAACTTGTCGTTACAGTGTAGTCGTGGCAATCTCTCTAAACTAAATGCTTTTTCTGTTTGAAGTTTAGAGGCAAATATACACCATTTTCAACGCCTTTGCGACTGATCTAGAACAGTCAGTGTGAAGAAGTGAACATGGAACCAAGTTCGACGAAAACGTCCCGAATGACTGACAGTGGATCATCCTGGATAGTGGCCGTTTTTTCGTGCATCGCACTGGCCATGCACTTCGGTGTCATTAACTGTGGTGCCCTTTTCTACCCCGGACTAGTCGAACTGACGGACATGCCTGTCAGCGCATTGTCTTGGTTTGTCACCGGCCAGTATGGAATGACCTTCTGTTTTGGTGAGTTCTTTTCGAAATCGCTCGTCTTCCAATCGATTTTGCAATCACAGCCGTCGAAAGTTTCAATCCCTCACTAAATTGACAGCTTTGACAACAGCATTCTATCGGTGAGTGTTCTGACAGAGGAGAGAATTTTGGGCTAGAGTTTTGACGGATTTCTCAAGGAGCTATTGAATCTCATTGCAACTGTTTCGTCTATATTCGGGGTTTAATAGTGACAAATAACGGTTCAGCCCTAACTTCCTATCGGTGCACAGTGCAAGCTCGAAGGAAGTACGATGGCTGAGATACTACTAGGTTGTCCAAGCCTAGAGAGGACTCATCGAAATGCCAAGGTTGGGTTCGAACCACGGGCATTCCAATCAGTAATTTTGCAGTTTAACTACTGAGGTAACTTGTGCTGCTGGAAATGACAAGTTTGATCCAAGGAATCCTTTATGACATGTATAAATTGCCCATTCAGGGATGTGCATCAATTTTGAGCAGTGGTTCTTGACCAATCTAGCGCTATTTATCTCTTTGGACACTTTCCTAGTTTCACCTAACCCACATGAACTAAGGTTGTGCGAAACCATCGAAAAGTACCAAAATAATGAAATAATTCATTTTGTTTTTTGGAACTGAACCCCAAAAGAAGAGTAAGCCTCATGCACCGCTCGTCAGCTTGCTCGAAACTCTGACAGCGCGACCGAGCGATTGGGCTGGATTCAAGGTGAGTCACCCATCAAGACCAAATGATTGTACAAGTCTGGAAGAGTAAGCCCATTGAGACCAAACCTTATTTACTCACTTTGAAAAAGGTGCCCGGTAATGTAAAAGTTACAATTGTTGAAATGGTCAACTCCAAGAAACGCATAACAGCGCATGAAGTAGTCTATCAGATGCAATTGTCATCCTTCATTACCCCTCTTTTCTTCCAAGCAAGTTGAAGCGGATGTGAAAATATTAACTGACAAAAGTGCATCGCTGCAAGTATGAATAGTGCACAAATAACCATCTCTGCTTGTTTAGCACAAGGAGTGCATATCGATAGCTGAAATCTCTGATTTCACGATGAAGAAGAGAGGTTGCTCAAGCATCCGGACGGTGTACAGATGAGCTTTTCTCATGATCATGGGCGTAGTATGATATTTGGAACTACTGTGCCAGCTGCATGCTGCTGGAAGACAATACTGGTGGCGCTTACTGCAATAAGTGGTTTCATTGTATCCGAAACAGCCTTAGCGTTCTCTACTGCTTCCTTAACGGTCACGAAGGCTTCCTTGTAGAGTCGCCATCTGGGCTAGCCTCGGCCAGAAATGACTAGGTCGTATCTGTGTTAGCGACCATGTAAACGGCAGAGTGGTTGTCGTAGCAACACGCGTATGACTGAATGATTGACAGGATAAATTAGGTTGGCTTGAAATGAACAGAACTAGCCTTGATGGCATTTACAGTGGGCCTGTCTGTTCCAAAACCAACGGTGAAACAACGCAACCAGCCAAGCGAACAAAGTGACACTGCGGCAAAGTGAAACTCTTCAGCACGGCAAGGCGAACAAGCACCCTGCCCGATTTTACACCCCAACCCCGATTCAGGCCATGCGGAATGTATGGCATTCCGCAGGCATTTCGCTGAATTTTATTCACCTTGTTATTGTTGTTGATTGTTGATTGGTTGTTATTGATTGTTCTCATTCAAACAGTCGTTATGGTCCCGAGGGAGAAGATGCGTGGATGTATGAGGTGTCGGAGGGGGGGGGGGCACACGAGTTTATGCCAGTAGGTGTGTTGGGAGTAAACACGTGCCTGATAGCGTAACCTTCCTTGAACGAAACCTTCCTTCCAAGCAGGAGTGTTTTTGCAACATCTTGCGCTTCTACTTCTGTAAAGTTTCATGAACACCAAGGAGGATGGGCTACGTCTTACGGCACCCAAACAATCCTGGACAGCTGTTTGCCACAATCACGGATAAAACAGCACCAAAAAACAAAAGTGACACGGGATACTGTTATCTCCCTGCTACCTATCAACAAGATGTGACTTACCCAAATCGCCTATTTTTAACTGCAACTTGTAGTTCCAATGAATACAATCCGTGTAGCTAACTGTGTTCAGACACGGCCATACGGCATTCTAGGAAAGCGTGTTCCGTGTAATTTGTCCAAGAAGCAGCAGACGGATCGGATTCACCCTCACTGCATGAAGTGCTCGGCGTTTGTGTTTTGTCTTAATTAGTAGGTCTAAGTGATTGTCTTGTGCAAGGAGTCTGATCACAAGGCACAAAACATCAAGCAATATTCGCTCATAGATACGGTTATGGTGTGGGTGAATATTTTCTCAAAGTCCACCCTGATTTGAAAAAAATTGACAAACGACACTCATGGATGCTTGGAAGTTCCAACTGATGATTCCGTTTTGCGCTTTGTAAAAAAACTAAGATGAAAGCTTAGAAGCTTCCTGTGTTATTTAACTTTCGGTGTACCTGCCGTAACAAGGCAAATATTGCTTTTCGATTCTCAAAAATTCGAATGCTGCGGTGGACCATGGATCGCATGTGTCTTGCACACCTATCAACCATATGAATCTGTACTTAATGACAGTTAATTTGTGTACTGTTGCGCTTATTGACATGATGATATTGTAAAAGACCACTTGGATTTAAAATAAGAATTTAGATGGATATTTCCGTGGCTACAGGTCAGTAATCTGGTGTTTTCGAGAAACTTGCAAATAAACGTAAGATTGACAGAGGCTCTGGACAGTGCCTACCTGATTAGCCCCAAGAAAGGTGGAACTAGCTGTAGGCTGCCGAACACTTTCCAGCAGCCTCATGAACACTGTCGTTCAGTAGTTTATGAAAAATCTTTCCATTCCGAAAAAATATGCTTCCAAAAGTAACTTTGCAGTAAACTGGCAAACGTAAGCCTGTATTTCCAGCAATTCAGTGCGCAGTTTTCCTCCATTTATATGAAAATGTGTTTTGCGTGAGTACAGATGACAGAATTAGATGTTATACTTTTGCCTTGGTATCTGTAACTTGTTTGGTACTTGAATACCTAACCCTACTCAGCTCCATTGTACAACCGTTTGCATCGATACCTGCATTTCCGAATCATCATCGTTGGGGCTGCACTATTGACCACAGCTTCATTTATCAGTGCATCGTATGTACACAGTTTTGCGGCATTTTTCATCCTGTACACCGTATTCGGAGGTAAGTCGACGATTTAGCTAGATATGTCAGAGCAAATTCGCTGTGTCTGTATGTATTCTAGTTGTACGGTTAGAGCACATCCGTTTTACTCAACAAAATTTCAAGGATGTTATCTACGTACACGCACGAGCGAACAACCAGTGGTGGTTCATCTTGAGAGTCCCTAATTAGGTTCACGGCGCACTAGCTGATCTAGTGGACCGGCAAGCACATGAAAATTGGATTACGGACAGCTTAGTGTGTGGAATGCATGCAGTGTACTTTTGAAGGTGTACGCAAATTGAATCCCCTTCAAATAGGATGCTTTTGTTAGACTAAGGGTGAAACTGTGGGCAACTTATACTTGTATCGCAGCTGGTGTTATACTTGAACCTGTCCTGGTTGTAGTGGATGTAACAACGTAGTAAGGGCGCATTGCGGTTACATCTGTCCACGCCATTTAAATATCATCGTCAACCTTACAGGACAAATTGTTTGAGATTGTGACTCGGACTGAAAAAATTACACATAAATGAATAAGAATCCAGCCTTCTACTTAGCACACTTTCGGCTCATACGTAGTGTATGGTGTCGCAATTTTAGCTTGTTCTGCTCTTAAACTAGTCCTGCTCTATTATTATTACCCCGTTGTTTTCAAACACTGAGTAGCTTGAAGAAAAGTAGGTGAGACGAGGCCGACACACAAGGAACAAAGACAAAACGCCAGAGGTATTACACGAGTACTTACGAGTGGATGGACTTCGAATGTCTGGTCCAAAATACACGAAGCATTATGATTTGCAGGGAGGAGGTTAAGTTTAACTTAGCGATTTCTTCCAACCAAACGGGACGAACTATGGAGTAACGGAAACAAGGGAACTTCACTCAGTCAAAAAGGGAAGGCAGATACTTCATTGCTGCTGGATTGGTTTGTAGCCATCCAGTAAATCTACCAGCAGATGCGTAGCAGTAAGCATTCTCTATCTGTGACCAGTTGTGTCAATTTGTCCAACAGTAATTTAAGCAGTAACTATTGAATTGAAACTGTTCCACTCAGCGAGGAGCATATTTTTTGTGGGTGCAAGGATAAAAATAAATAGTTCCTGAAACCATTGTTCCCCTAACCTTTTCTAAAAACGCTTCATCTAAATCGCCAGTAGAGGATGCATGCCACTAACGTAGGAGAAAAAAGCCTCATTAGGCTGCTAAGATTTCATCATTCTTTCATATCGGGTTTTCCCGAACAAACAGTCAACTGTATGCTTTGTCTTTTACCCGCAAGTACTTTATTGTTTCCACTGTCGTTAACTACAAATGGGACTAAACGCATGCTAATACACTGAGTATATTATATTCCTTGATTTCCTCCAGGTATTGGACTAGGAACCAGCGTCGTTCGTATTGTTGGTATTGCAGCCGAACGCTTCGACCGGTACCGAATTTTAGCTCTTGCACTTTGTACCTGTGGTGCCGGACTTGGGACGTTTATCTACTCGAACCTCGGTGGTTACATGATAGAAGAGCTAACTTGGCGAGTCGCTCTAATGGGTTATGCTTTATTTCACCTGAACCTCATACCAGTTAGCCTTTTGCTCCGACGGCTGCCACCAGAAGATGTGACGGAGCCGGCTATCATAATGCCCGATCAAGCAGAATCGTCAATTCAGAGCCGCGACTTGATCGAAGCTAGCAGAATGGTGACCTTTCCAGATATATTTTCTTCACGGTTGAGTGTGTATGGCTCTGGAGGTCTCGCAGCTCAAAAAGGGGTTACGTATCCGCAACGGCTTAACGAATCCAATCGCCGGATTACTGCAGCTCGAAAACTAAGAGCCTGTGTTGAATTTGCTAAGTGTCATCGCGTCGCGGAGACAAAAGATTTCCACATCGACCCTTTATTTTTCGCTCCAGATCCGGGGGCTTCTGTGATGGATAGAATCAAGGAAACATGTAGAGAATATATTACACAACTGAATAACGCGATGTGTAATACCGTTTTCGTTCCCGTGTTGTTTATCGTCGGGGAACTGGATGCAGCCCTCACTCTACTGCTGAACACAAATCAAGAAGGGATTTTAACGGAACAAGAATTGAATGACTTGTTAATCAGCCATTTTGAATTAATTCTTAATCCAGAGGGAGAGAACCAGGAAAGTGACAGCAAAACCCACGTCAAACCGTTTGTCGGTGACTCTATTTCCGCCTCCGTCATAATCGCACAGGAAAGAAAACGAGCTCGAGGTATTGTTCGAGCGACTGTCCGAAAGGCTGAGACGCGCGCATACGAACTGTGTGAAACTCTGTCGCGCAATGGGTTGGATGTCAGTCCAACGCCAATCATTGTCCTGGTGGAGCACTCCGGTGATCTTATGTATAGCCGACTGTTCCAAATACATTCATGCGACAGAATGCACAAAATAAGCAATGCTGGGTTCGAAGAGGTCGAAGAAACTGACAGAAGTGAAGGGCAACAGCAGCTGAATATAACGTCAAGCGAGCGTAATCTTCAACCCACAATGCCAATCGGAAGTTCAACGCTTTCATTATCAAACTTTCTATCTATGGGAAGTCAGTATTTGACAAACAGTCATTCTAAAGTACTAGATCATTTCATAACAAGAGAAACCAATGAGTTTGCCAAGAATCATAGGCTGAGCTGTTTCATATTACAGTCAACTGATCTGTTGAACTCCGCCTCCTCTGTTTATGACGTACAGAAAGCTGGCAATCACCTTATGACGATAACAGGGGATCGAACACCCGTTCAAGTGTGCACTACACATGATCAAAAATATGGATCAGTCTTGCGAAACCCGTTGTTTTTCAGCCTACTTGTCACACGTTTGCTTGTTTATGTTGCTGATTCAATCATTTTTGCACATTTGAGTTACTTTGCGTTAAAAAGTGGACTGAATGAGGATGACGCAGCAAGTTTGTTATCTTCCATTGGTATTGCATCTATGTTTTCACGTCTAGGAACAGGTTTAATCGGGCAATTCGCCCCTCGTTGTGATTCACGCACGATGACTTCCTGTTGCTTGTTGGTTTTGGCCATACACACAATCGTTATGCCCCTGTATCCTACTTATGTGGCTCTGTTGGCTTTTACCATTGTTTATGGAGTTCTTTTGTCACCCAGTTCTGCTTTCACGCCTGTGATGGCATACGAAATCACTGGACCTGCCCGATATGACGAAGCTGTTTCCTACTGGTTCCAGTTTGAAGCGATTGGATATCTACTTGGTGGACCACTGGGAGGTAGATCGAAGCGTGAAAGTTACTCTGAATTTATTTTGAGCATTGCAATAATAGCACCCCTTCTTGATTGTCCATTTTTCGACAGTGGCATGTTCATTGAGCTTAGCCATCCAAACGAATGTTGGTGGCAGCGATAAGCTCCCCCTTAGAAATGAGTAGTGGCATCAATGCTTTTACCCGTGTCATGCAGTACTTAAATAGAACTATGCACAGTGAGCTTCATGGTGAAAGATTACTGAGCTGATTCATGGTGCAAAACCAAACCACACCAAGCCAACGGAAAACAGTTCTTCATTATACCCAAATTGTGTACAACACACCAGTGTGGGATCCGGCCAGAAGCCGTCAGTCGTCACTTGTCGCGTTGATGGACAAATCTGATGAGATTATTGGAACATGACGAAACTACATAAATACACCCAAGTACCTATGAGACGTTGTACGATACTGTAACCAATGCTAAATACCTTTTCGTTCGAAATGTAGCCGCATAACAGGGTGTGCTCAAACATGTGAGTGTAGTGACTTGTTCTTTCAGTAGTTGTACCTATGAGACGTTGTACGATACTGTAAGCAATGCTAAATACCTTTTGGTTCGAAATGCAGCCGCATCACAGGGTGCGCTCAAACATGGGAGTATACTGACTTGTTGTATCAGTAGTTTGTCATACAAGAAAGAATGAACTGAGAAAAGACCTGAACGAAGCCGCTGACTAGCATAATTCATGGCAGTGATATGCTAGTTCGCAGTTGGTTGAGGACTAGACTAGACTAGTGGCGTAAGGTCTTAAAAAGAATATGGGACAGTGACGATCGGAGCATCTTCTTGCACGACACTGATATCTCACTTTATCTCGCTGCAGGTGTGGTGATTGTAAGCGGTTTTGAAAATAAAAATCAAGGCCTTCTGATGACTCATAGTTGTTAAGCCGTCGAGCGTCGGAAAATATGCATAGTTAATCGACGTTTCATTTATTTCTATGGGAGAATAACGCCTGAGATGACGGTACCTGGTATGTGACATCGATTTACGGCCGCACATACAAACAAACAAGTTTGGTTTCACTAACACCTATGTTGTCGCCCGGAAAGCAGAATCCCCTACTGGAAACCCACATGAAAGCCCTTGTTCGTTGTTTTGTCCAATCGAACCAACCTGGACGGTTTATAGCGGTCACTCACTAGATCGCGCGTCACAGACACTCAAAACACGTGACAATTCTTGTCCCACTCGTAACCTTAGCCGATAATATGCACACAACAACTTCCCATTCATTTTCGTTTACGCGGCTACCACCTGCGTCATGAGCCAGGCATACGAACTTCAACACATTAGGTCAAGTTGTACTCATGTTCGTGCAAGCATCAAACACGGAGGGACACCCCTCTCTTCACACTGCACACAATAAATGAGCATACAACCCTGCCCTAAACACACGTTCGCACACACAGGACAGGAAGTCAACCGATTTACACAAATCCCCCAGGGCAACTACGGCACACCTGTAGCAGCTATACCGCAGAGAAGACACCTCCCGCGCCCGGAACATCACTCAAGAAGTGTCATCGGTTGCCCTCAAACGATAATTCACTTTTTGACTTATTCCTTTCTTGCACTGCATTTATTTCTGTCAGGCGCACCTAACTTTTGTAATCAGCATCATTCTGTTAGTGCTTGTCACGTGATAATCAACCTAATTACTTTACAACCAGAGCACTAACAGGTTCACTCATGCTTAAGCTGTGCATATTTCTTCGTTTTCTGATGTGCACTCGAATGCAATGCGTCACTGTTCAGGTTTCCTCACCTTGCTGGTCATCGTGCAATTTGATTATTTCAACTTTCAGGTTTGGTCAAAGAAATCAATAACAACTACATGGATTGCTTTGCTTTGGCAGGGACGTGCGACTTGGTTGCCGCATTGATTATTTTCATTCAAGGCCTCATATTGACTCGCTGTGCAGAACGACTCGCAGAACTGTTTCGTACAACCTGCTGTAACAGGAGACATGGAACAGGATAATGGATCAAGAGCGTAACTGATACTGCCATCTACACTCTTCTAGACAGTCTCCAAATGGCCGTTTCTTTTCCCAGTACACAATATTCATCAGAACGATTTTGTTTCACGGTTTCTGCTACATGTCGTCTACCGGTTAGCACAGGTGATATCACTCAAAATTTCAATGACCACAAGGTTCATCAGAGGAAATTCTACAGTTTTCATCACACTGTCGCAAATAAACTTCCGCTCCTAGTGGATCAGTGTGGAACTCCAGAGGTTTTAAAACCTGTCGTTATGACATGTTTCAGTTCACTACTTTGGATTAAGCCTTTAGTGAACAGACTCCAAGATTCCCCTCTAGGAACAGGTTTAATCGGGCAATTCGCCCCTCGTTGTGATTCACGCACGATGACTTCCTGTTGCTTGTTGGTTTTGGCCATACACACAATCGTTATGCCCCTGTATCCTACTTATGTGGCTCTGTTGGCTTTTACCATTGTTTATGGAGTTCTTTTGTCACCCAGTTCTGCTTTCACGCCTGTGATGGCATACGAAATCACTGGACCTGCCCGATATGACGAAGCTGTTTCCTACTGGTTCCAGTTTGAAGCGATTGGATATCTACTTGGTGGACCACTGGGAGGTAGATCGAAGCGTGAAAGTTACTCTGAATTTATTTTGAGCATTGCAATAATAGCACCCCTTCTTGATGGTCCATTTTTCGACAGTGGCATATTCATTGAGCTTAGCCATCCAAACGAATGTTGGTGGCAGCGATAAGCTTCCCCTTAGAAATGAGTAGTGGCATCAATGCTTTTACCCGTGTCATGCAGTACTTAAATAGAACTATGCACAGTGAGCTTCATGGTGAAAGATTACTGAGCTGATTCATGGTGCAAAACCAAACCACACCAAGCCAACGGAAAACAGTTCTTCATTATACCCAAATTGTGTACAACACACCAGTGTGGGATCCGGCCAGAAGCCGTCAGTCGTCACTTGTCGCGTTCATGGACAAATCTGATGAGATTATTGGAAAATGACGAAACTACATAAATACACTCAAGTACCTATGAGACGTTGTACGATACTGTAACCAATGCTAAATACCTTTTCGTTCGAAATGTAGCCGCATAACAGGGTGTGCTCAAACATGTGAGTGTAGTGACTTGTTCTTTCAGTAGTTTGTCATACAAGAAAGAATGAACTGAGAAAAGACCTGAACAAAGCCGCTGACTAGCATAATTCACGGCAATGATATACCAGTTCGCAGTTGGTTGAGGACTAGACTAGACTAGTGGCGTAAGGTCTTAAAAAGAATATGGGACAGTGACGATCGGAGCATCTTCTTGCACGACACTGATATCTCACTTTATCTCGCTGCAGGTGTGGTGATTGTAAGCGGTTTTGAAAATAAAAATCAAGGCCTTCTGATGACTCATAGTTGTTAAGCCGTCGAGCGTCGGAAAATATGCATAGTTAATCGACGTTTCATTTATTTCTATGGGAGAATAACGCCTGAGATGACGGTACCTGGTATGTGACATCGATTTACGGCCGCACATACAAACAAACAAGTTTGGTTTCACTAACACCTATGTTGTCGCCCGGAAAGCAGAATCCCCTACTGGAAACCCACATGAAAGCCCTTGTTCGTTGTTTTGTCCAATCGAACCAACCTGGACGGTTTGTAGCGGCCACTCACTAGATCACGCGTCGCTCAAAACACGTGACAATTCTTGTCCCACTCGTGACCTTAGCTGATAATATGCACACAACAACTTCCCATTCAGTTTCGTTTACGCGGCTACCACCTGCGTCATGAGCCAGGCATACGAACTTCAACACATTAGGTCAAGTTGTACTCATGTTAGTGCAAGCATCAAACACGGAGGGACACCCCTCTCTTCACACTGCACACAATAAATGAGCATACAACCCTGCCCTAAACACACGTTCGCACACACAGGACAGGAAGTCAACCGATTTACACAAATCCCCCAGGGCAACTACGGCACACCTGTAGCAGCTATACCGCAGAGAAGACACCTCCCGCGCCCGGAACATCACTCAAGAAGTGTCATCGGTTGCCCTCAAACGATAATTCACTTTTTGACTTATTCCTTTCTTGCACTGCATTTATTTCTGTCAGGCGCACCTAACTTTTGTAATCAGCATCATTCTGGTAGTGCTTGTCACGTGATAATCAACCTAATTACGTTACAACCAGAGCACTAACAGGTTCACTCATGCCTAAGCTGTGCATATTTCTTTGTTTTCTGATGTGCACTCGAATGCAATGCGTCACTGTTCAGGTTTCCTCACCTTGCTGGTCATCGTGCAATTTGATTATTTCAACTTTCAGGTTTGGTCAAAGAAATCAATAACAACTACATGGATTGCTTTGCTTTGGCAGGGACGTGCGACTTGGTTGCCGCATTGATTATTTTCATTCAAGGCCTCATATTGACTCGCTGTGCAGAACGACTCGCAGAACTGTTTCGTACAACCTGCTGTAGCAGGAGACATGGAACGGGATAATGGATCAACAGCGTAACTGCTACTGCCATCTGCACTCTTCCAGACAGTCTCCAAATGCCCGTTTCTTTTCTCAGTACACGATATTCATCAGAACGATTTTGTTTCACGGCTTCTTCTACATGTCGTCTACCGGTTAGCACAGGTGATATCACTCAAAATTTCAATGACCACAAGGTTCATCAGAGGAAATTCTACAGTTTTCATCACACTGTCGCAAATAAACTTCCGCTCCTAGTGGATCAGTGTGGAACTCCAGAGGTTTTAAAACCTGTCGTTATGACATGTTTCAGTTCACTACTTTGGATTAAGCCTTTAGTGAACAGACTCCAAGATTCCCCTCTTTGGAAAATATCTTTCATTAAAAATCACCTCATGAAACATTCACTGGATATAGATTGTGACTGAGTCATTGACCCCATGATGCATATGTAAAACCGAGTATATTTTTTCAGTAGACCGTTGTTATCATGCAACGGGCGCACAAAGGAAACACTCAGTTGATCTCAGTGACCTCTTTTCAGGCGAACCACCCTGTCAGGACGCGCCCAGACATGAAAAAAGCACATGTGCAGAGAATGACGCATCCCTAAAATCGTCATCGGTACCACACGTTCCGGATAGCAGGTGCGTTGGCGGAGCTCACCAAATACGGCTTAGCAACATAAGACTAGTGGAGTGGGGCTGAAATTGTTCACGACCGGAAAACCGCCATTGGCTGTACAGAACGAACCGTATTTGGCCCTGTACTCATCCTATATATTCACACAGAAGCTCTGTATGTTTTGTCCTGACAATACAGCCATGTCCCGCGTTCTGTCTTCTCCTTATCGCCTAGTCTAACAGGCTCATTGCAGGTATAACCAATAGACGGCCACTTATGATACAACACACCCTTACCAACCGTGTTCCACACCAGTCGTGAGGGATAATACAATGCTCCACCGAGCTTACGAGGTAGTATTGTGAACCTTTGGGATGATCGTTATACGTAAAAGTCGCACACACATTTGTATTCGCTGATTCACGCAGCGTAATTCGAATTTCGTGTGTCGTTCTGAGTTGGCTGATGAACTTTCGAGTATCTTGGCAGCAAACATGGTCGCCGAACATCCTATATCGGGGTCTTGAGATCTGAAGCAGTTCCAATCGAGGTAGGATATCACCTGAGATATTTTAGCACTATGCTACATTGCTACAAGTAAGATTAATAAAGATAGCTCATTATTTCACGTCCATCGGCTAAGATGTATATTCTGCTGTGTGAAGGATTGGTCTAGTATAGCGCAACAGTAAAACAGGTATGGAGAGACCCAGAGACTAATGGGGCGTCGAAAACTCTGAAATGACCGAGAGAAGTGAATCGACTCTTCGGCGTCACACTAATCAAGCTGTGTGCGAGGCCTAATCACACTTTCTGACCTGGATATTTGGATCTGTTTCCGGTGCCCCATCAGATGATCATTTTGGTGAAAAATATAAATACCCCCGTACGGTTCGCTGAGTTTGTTTGTACAAGTGCATTACAACTGTTATCTGTAGCAACTTAAGCATTCAAAACTAGATGCGTTAATTTCGATTTTCCTTTTAAGACAGACTTACAAAACGAATCCCACATTTCAGTTGTGCAACACGTATTGGAGTGGCTGTAGAAGTTGTGAATGTGATCGGTGTGCATCCTCTACCGATGTCCCGTTTGGCCTTGATACAAGATGTAGTGATGTGCTTTGACTCCACTACATTTGCCTTGATATGTGGTCAGACTAACTTCACCAATGAAGTTTCTTGAATTTTGCGGTTGTCAAGCTGAAGTTTTTATGACGTCGAATGAATCATTGAGTCCTAATGAGCGTATTATAATTCCACTTACTTTACGATTAGCACTGTATCAAAGTTTTTGCTACTGAAAAAATAAATTCCTTGTTAGAAATATTTGTTGGTGGTGCTAACCAAAATCTTCATTCAGCTTCATGTTATTGCCTAAAAAGTGATCACAACAGCCTGTGTAAAGCGTCTAGACGGAACCTTATGTCGACATCTTGTGAGAACCACCCCGTGCCTCTTTATGGATGTATGTGGTATAAGTATACATGACCTATTTGTAATTACTGTTTCCTATTCAGAGTGGCCAGAGCTGTTACTTACTAAGGCTGATAATGAAACCTCTAGGGAAAAGTGCTCCATTGCGAAAACGCACGGGTTGCTTAGGTAACTAGCAGTGGTCAACATTCTACTGAATGGCATCAAGGCACTGAGTGTCCTCATTACTTTACGGCACCACGACAGTGAGTGGACAGAGTACCCTGAATATAAATTCACTTCTTCTAAGTACAACTACTAATGAACCTGATCACGCTTTGAAAAACCCTTCGCAATCTTGTGAGTACGTACCTCGTTCTACTGTCGAAAAGTCTAATCGGTTTTATACTGACGAATCTTTCCCACGATTCATTCATGACAATAATCATTGGGGTTCGCATGAATGTGTGATCAATAATCATGGCAGATTGAATGCAGAAACTCTATTTGTCAGATGTTGAACACGGAAACAGACATAGTACCCTATTTGTCTGATTCTCCGAGTTATTGTCGCTGAAAGGGTACAAACCGGGAGCTTCGCTAAACAGTCGGAATAATACATCAGTGACACTCCTAAGTTGCAGTACGTACCAAAATGTGCACTTCAATTTCTGTTACTAGTTGATCGGTTCATACCATCTGAGCACTTATCACCTTGTCTCTATCCTCATGTATAACACACATCTAATGATTTGAAGATCGAATGGGTGACTATTACTGACACGAATAAGCTGTAGTGATTGACGGTGGTTTGAGAAGAGTTGGTAATGTTCAACAGAGATTTCGTTTTCTCTGAAACTCTCTGCTGAAAAGCCATGGAGCACGAAACAGTTGTTTCATCCTTGTTGTGAATCATCATCGGTAGCCATTTCGAGAAACCAAAAGGAGTGAGCACCCGCGGCCTCCTAGCTATAGTTTTAATTTAGTGCATTCCTGTACAGTTCTATATGACGGACACCGCATGCAGTCCAGTTTTTTCTGCAATATAACTAATCTCTGTTGGTGAACTTTTCTAGCCGGGAACACTTTATCCTTCAAGAATTTTCACCCTGGCTTAAGCGGAATAACAGTGGTTGAAGTGAATGAAAGTTGTATCACTGACGGTAACTGGATTTCGTTAGCCAAACAGGGAGAAATCAGTGGGGTAGTATTAATCCAAAACCAGTGGAGAAACGAAAACGGCTGATCAGTTTGGGACTGAGGGCAGACTGCTGGGTTTTTTCACTATTATTTCTCAGAATATCTTTCTGTCTCCAAGAGGATCGAGCTTGTGCGTCTTGAAACAAAGCGAGTAACTGGAGTGTGTCCAAAGCATACATTTTTGGTCACTGTAATGCGGCAGATTTTTGTCGTATTTATTGTTATAATGAAACAGAGGTATGATGCTATATGAAAGTGTAATCTACTATAAGTCTGCGGCTCATCTCACACGAAATGGCAGACCCTGATAGACGCATCATTTTGATTCAATGATGAGGCGAATTCATTATTTAGTATACGGTTAGTCGTGGACAGTTGGAATGTTCTTCTATGCCCCATCTCCCCACTTGCCTGAGCTTATCGCTAATCAACGATCGGGTCGATGCAGCAGCCTTACAGATATTCCCTCGGCGTTTAATTCCAATTTAATAAATAACACAGTAGTGAGTAGTTGTTCACTGGTTGTTGTATATCCATCGACAAAACGGTAGACTTCAGCTAGCATGCGTTCCTACCACAGAGGGGTCATGAAATCACCTTTGATTACCATTAAAGCATAATATTATTAGTTCGAAAAAGTGATGCATGAAGCGCAACGCAGTCAGTTACAAGTCAAATCGGTTTCAATAGGAAACTCACATAGCTTTCTCGTTGATATTCTTCAAATAAATATACTGTACGAAGATTGCCTCAGGTCTTAGTTGGCAAGATTCTCAAGGTAGTCATATGGCCTCATAAGTGATGCGTTGTCATAAGAAAGCTACTTCTATATTCCGAATATTGTGAAGTGACCCTCCTGAAGCATATCCACTCGAAAAACACATTAAAAACGTCCAAGTGAATCTTCCGCAAACTATGACTTAAGTTACGAGTGAATGCATTCCGTCAACTGCGTATAGTGTGGTATTCATGCGGGACATCAGATTGCTTGAAACTTGACAATTGCGCCTGCCTGTTGGGTCCCAAGA